TGAGCAGCACATGGCAGTCTCTGAATGCAGCTTGATTGAACATTTTATTCTCTTTCCTCCTCTCTACATTACACCCACACAGAGTTACTGGAGCAAAGGGGTCCGGTAGTGCGTCTCTAAGTCAATCAGATACGGGCAGGTTTTGCAGCAAAGAAAGTGAGGGTTTATTTCGGGGAGCTGCGAGTCCTGGAGATACACGCAAGCTATCGCTCAAAGGCCTGACTCCCCAAGTGTCTTGAGGGGATCAATTATATTGGAAAATAGCAGCAGTCATGGAAACTAAGGGAGTGGGGGTCGTGGGCTTTCCTGATTGGACAGGGCTGGGACAGTGAGTCATCACATTCATTCGGTTCTGGAATCAGCCAGGGCACCATCCCTTTTGGTCTGGTGGCCTGGTCCTGTGGCTCGCTGGGTGGCCGGGTTGCTGTGTGACTCCGTGGGCCTGGGGCTGAAACACCTAAAGCCAAGATGTCATCCCTAATCTAAGGTCCAGCGGAAACGTATTGTCCTCGGCTTAAAGACCTGAGGCTCGAGTTAAAAGGCGTAATGACTAAAGGAGCAGGGACACAGAAATGGAAGGATAAGGATGGAAAAAGCTAGCGAGTCACAGTGCCATTATCTGCACAAAAGCAGATCAGAGACAAAAACTATACGTGTGGTTGCAGTGGGGCTATCTGCACAAAAGCAGATCAGAGACAAAAACTATATTAAAGAAATGAAGTTACGTGTCGTTGCACTGGGGACCCCTGCCCTTTGCTCCTCGCTTCTCTTACAGACCTGTGCCATCTCCTTTTCTAGGGTCGGGCCTTCCATGGCTCCCATCTCTCCACAGCATCGGTCCCCTAGAACTAGAAAATGAGCCACGTAGGTCATTGTAAATGGTTCAGTAGCCACATTTTAAAAAGTTAAGAAGAAACAGGTGAAATGAATTTTAACAACGTATTTTACTTAATTCTATCTATCTGAAATATCATCATTTCAACATGCAGTCTATATAAAACAATAACAAACGAGATACTTTGCGTTTATGTTTTTAAACGTATTTGAAATCCAGGGTGTATTTTACATTGACATCATATCCCAAATCGGATGCTAAAATTTTATCAAAAACATTTGATCCCAATTCAGTTCGTTGAATTCGCTGTTGGAAAAAGTAGATTCGTATACCCGAGGTGTCCCAGACTTACGTAAACGTTTTCCGGTAATTGAATTGTGTACTTGATTTTGAATTCAAGTTGCTTAAGCTTAAATACAATTTAAAAACTGAGTTCCTCAGTTGCACTAGCTGCATTTCAAGTATTCAGCAGCCTCGTGCAACTCACCAGTGGTGACCGTGTGGGACAGCCCAGATAGAAAACAGTTCCATTGGACAGTCCAGGCTTATAAAGTCCAAACACCTCCACAGGACTTTCAGAATTTTCTAGAACCTGGTCCCAGCTTATCTAGCTTTATTTATTAGCTTTGCGTGCCCTCGTTCCCTTTCCCACGCCTGTCTTTCCACTTCGAAATGAATGCCCTTTCTTCCCTTCCCCTAGAGAAATCTCCTCTTTCTTAACAGCAGAGCTTCCTTGAAGGCTGCTCCCCTTCTCCCTGCAGCAGAATTAATTGTTGCCTCTGCTTCCCACGGGTTCTGGGAGATGAGGCAGAATGTGTGGGAAGGGGCGGCAGACCTGTCCGAGCCCCCCCGACCGAGGCTTGCTGTCCTGGGAGCTCATGTCCCCAGTTCTCCTGAGACAGGTTTGAATGGATCCTCTGACCCAGCAGGCCTGGCCCTGCCTCGTCGGAAATCGGAGCCCCACAAAGGACAGCACTGTGTCCTGCTCCGGCCGCCCCGGGGCTGTGAGCTTGGGCCTTCAGACTGGAACACACTTCGGGCTCAGGCCACGATTCTAGGCAGGCATCCGCTCAACGAGAAAAAAAAAAAAATCCTTTCTTTGCCCTCACAAAAGGAAATGTGTGCCTGGCTGCCCTGATGCTCATTTTTCAAAATGGGAACCTGAGTATGTGCGCATTTTGTCGTTTAAAACTATTATTTATAAACTATATTTACCTACAGAAAAGTGCAACTCGAATTTTCAGTTAACTTATATACTCACGTACCAGCCCCCCAACCGTCACCCCCTCCCCTTCCAGATTCTCCTCACCCCCCTAGAGGCAGCATGTCCCTGACCTCTAGTGCCATGATTCATTTCGCCCCTGCATGGTTCTGAGCTTTATAAAAATGGCACCACAGGGTGTGCACTTTTGGTGTCTGGCTTCTTTTGCTCAGCACTCTATTTGCAATAGTTTGTGGTTGGTTTTTAGAATGCCCTCATCTTTTCCATCACCTTAAATGCTATTTGTAAAAACCACAGTGGCTAAAAAAAGAAAAAGAAAGAAAGAAAATAATAACAGTAGATGCAAAAGACAGGTCGTTTATTGAGTGGTGGTTTGAAGTGTGAAGAAAACTTCGGTTCAGATTCGGTGGATGTTGAAACAACCCCAACTCCACGTTGTCTGCCTCCGGGGCACGTAGAGCAGGATTCCAGAGATTTTTATTTCCAACAGTTAGGCAGGGACTGCAGCCCTATCTCAGCTTCGAAGATGCTACAGAAGACAGGCCTTCATCCCTCGACATCTCCTTAATAAGAATAAGGGAATAACATCTCCGATGGGGGAATGGGAATAGGGAAGAGGCATGAGAACTACGCCAGTTGACTGAACGTTAAACCAGCTGGAATTCAGAGCCTGCCGGGCGCTGTTAGACCGAACCTGGCCGACCAGCCTTCCGGCCAGACCACGGGAACTCACAGAACAGAAGAAGATGCCTGCAGAGATGATCAACAACTGTTTAGCCACACCGTGAAAGGAAAACAGACTTTAAGCTGTACCTTACACAAGTGGAAGATAAACTCAACCGTTAATTCTGTTTGCTCCCTGTAATCAGTAATTTTTCATAGAAACAAACATATAAACCCAATTCCTCACTCTCGTTCTCTGACCCTGGGAGGAGACCATGCTCTGGGGAGCGTTATTCCTTCTCTAAGGAACTTTGCTTTGTCTTAAAAAGTTCGGTTGACGTTTGTTTGTTAGCTCTTGGGATTTTCTAGGTTCTGGCGATTAATGACCTTTTTGTTTTTATTTAGAGAATCCTTGTTAAGGTGCTAATTCTTGGGTCTTGAAGGTTCTTGAACTTCCTTTCTGGCTTTTGGACAAGGCTGGACACGAGTCATTTTTCTCAGGGTTTTGTTTGTCAGGTAGAAAATTAAAGATGAGGGTGGAAAAGAGTGAGAGAGAGATGACAATTGCATTTCTGATCTGGTATCTTTTGGTTTTTCTTTAGGTAAAATGTCTGCTCCAGGACCCTACCAGGCGGCCGCTGGGCCTTCGTCAGTGCCCATAGCGCCCCCATCCTATGAAGAGACAGTGGCCGTTAACAGATACTACACCACGCCTCCTGCACCCATGCCTGGGCCAGCGACGGGGCTCATGACAGGCCCAGATGGGAAGGGCATGAACCCTCCTGCGTACTACACCCAGCCAGGGCCTGTCCCCAACGCCAATGCAAGTACGTGTGGCCTCCCTGGTCCCCTTTACCGCCCTGGCCTTAGGGACTCTGAGACTCCGGAGAGCCACCCAGGTGACTCTGAGTCTAAGCGAAGTGCCAGTCGGTCCACCTTGACCCCTTTTCCTGAAGTGTCACATCAGTCTTTTAGGTTCCGCACCAGTGAGTCTCATGGCATTTCCATAATGAAGTAGCTTAGGAGCTTTCCCAAGGCCGCTATAGACAGACCCTTTGGCACTGACCATAGGGGCACCAACTATCCAGAGGAACTTGGCAGTGAGAGTTTGCCTCTAAGGGCCCCCACCCTTCGTGGTGAGGTTTGATGGGAGAACCCCTGCCCCAGGCCAGGCCTGGAGGAGGAGAGGGAGAAGCAGCAGCCCTGAGTGAGGAACGGAGGGCCTAAGCCCACTGGTGCCATTCATGCAGGTGGTTCCCTGCCTTCCAGCAACTTCTTCATGGCCGAGCCCTCGGGTACCTGCCGCTGCGCAGATATGGAGCTGCCTCAGTATCCCAGACAGCTCAGGAGGAAATGGCCAGGTCAGAGTGGGCCTGTGAGTCTGATGGCCTGGTTCCCCTAAGCTCCTGTGCCTCAGTTTCCCTGTCTGTAAGAGAGGGCTCATCAAGTACCTACAGCAGTGGGTTGTGAAGATGAAATAAAGTTTTAGGAGTAATCGTTCAATAAAAGTGCTCAAGGAACTTTGACTCCTTGAGATGGAAGAGGACAAGATAATGACTTTAGACTATTTCAGATCACACTCTGATCAGTAAATAATTCATCCTCGCACCCAAAAAAGACTTCATAAAATTTACACATAAGTGCTAAAGTATGCTTCGATTCTGCTTCACTCAAAAGAGGGTCTTTCTAGGTCTTTCTAGGGGTATTGGGTTCAGTTAGCTCTGAGCAATCGTTAGTTTCCCCTAATACACGGATTATAGAAATGGCATTCTAACAATGTAAGAAGGACAGAAGGAAGTCACTTTGACAGAAGTATGAACTCAAGCGACTTTGCCAAGGACCAAAAAGGACATGCAAAACTCTAAAGGCTTCAGGATCGACGTCACCTCGATTCCCTTGTGGTGGTTGTGGATGTCTGTGCACGTTTTGCACAATTTTCTCTTTTTAGCATGATTTCATATGCTCATTTCGTGTAACTTCACGGTTCCCCACCTTACAAAGAACCGGGTCAGTGTTCTCTGGCTCGGTAACTCCAGCCTCATCCGGGCGTTGCAGCTGATTTTTTTGTGAGAAGAGGGAGCTGGTAATCGAGGGGTCACTCCGTTCCAGGCATGGTGTGAGGTTCTTTCTTTACCGGCCTTATCTCGTTTAGTCTTAACAATAACTCTCTTACTTCCATTTTTTAAAGTAACAGCTTCATTGAGATCTAATTCCCAGACCATAAAGTTCACCCTTTTCAAGTGTACAGTTCAGTGGTTTTAGTATAGTATTTAGTCTTTAAGTTGTGCAGCCATTCGCACTAATTCCAGAGCATTTCCAGCGCCCCAGAACGAAGCCAGTTCCCCGCCCCTGGGCACCACTAATCTGTGGATGAAGAAAACGGCTAAAACCCACCATATCACGGTTTCTGAAATGACCATCTGCAAACCACCTTCGTAG